GGCCGCCGCCCCCCGGCCCCGCGGGTGCGCTCCGCAGGGTGGGCGTCGCGCCCGCCGCCGCGCCGCGAAGTTGCTGCCGCTTCATCGCTGCCCCTCCTCAGTCCTTCGCCCCCGAGCCGTGAGTTTTCTGCATAAAATACATTAACGAGCCCTTTCATTTGCTTGTTCCTTCAGGGTCGCGTGTTAGTTTTGTTGGAGGGGGGTGCAGGCTCTTTATTACTCGGTGAGAGAGCTGGCAGATGTCCCAAGTGAGAGAACCTCTTCCTCCGGGGCCTGGAGGGCCAGAGCAAGCTCCGACTGAAAACAGCTCTTTGATCTCTCTCCCTCGAGGTAAGTTGCTTTAAAGTTTCTCTGTAATTGTTGCGCCTTTTATTTGAATGATACGTTTGCTGTTTTGTTTTGTGGATTTTAACCCCTCTTCTCTTTCCCCTCCCCCGACTTCCCCTCTTTGGTTTAACTTTGTAACACTTTCATTTCCACCTTTTTATCATTTTAAGCCGAAATTTCTATGTAGGAAAAAAGATAAAAAATAAAATTATGCACTGATGTCAGCACCAGTTCTCAGTAGTTGAAGAACTAGAGTTATTCAGAGGCAGATGCAGCTCCTTAAAAATCACTGTATAGTTTTTCAGCTTTATGTTAGTTTAGAACCTCTTTCTTGTAAAGCTCTCCTTCCAGGTCTTGCAGTAAATTGAGAAAGGTTGATCCAGAAGCTGGAATGTTGTCCAGGTTGGAGGTCACTTTGCTGTTTCTTTCTTAGGTTACTATGTGAACCTGCAGCTAAAACCAGTTTCTGAGAGTAGTAACTTTTTTAGTACCAACTGTTCAAAGGTAGTTTAATATCTTAAAGGGAAATTCTCTAAGTTATGTCTTATTTGCATTTGCACAAAATGCACTGGCTATTCTGATCATCTTCACATGGGGAAGTTTGACAAGGTGTCTTGCAGGTTATCCTCAAATCAGGGAAGTGTGTTTGCTTCCTGAGTCCTGGTCTGTGAAGATGAGACTGATTTTTTTTATTATTTTTTTTTTTTGTCCCATTTACAATTACAGCTTTGTTTTTCAGAATCCTGTCAGGAGTTTAAAAACTCTCTGAAGAGCAGACAAATAAGCTTGTTCAAAAACTGTAACTCTTCATAACTGGTTAATTGGAGCACAGCCTGGTAACACAGTTGTGCAACTGCGGATTAAACATGCAGTCTTGTTTTTGTGACTTGGAAAATCAATAGCTGTGTGAAATCAAAGCTGAAGACTCTTTTGAGAAACCAGAAAGTATCTGTAGCTAAGTAAAAAATGTTCTGGCAGGGAGGCGTATTAAATTGGCTTATACTTATCTTATTGTTGGGTTGTTTTTGTTTGTTTGTTGGTTTTTTTTGTCCTAGAGAATGACTCATAACTTCTAAACAGTAAAAAATAATAATAAAAAAAGATTAGATACAGAAGATCAAGCATGCAGAACTGAGCTGTTAAGACTCATGATTTGGCCAGGAACATCAGTATCTGTGATACATGTTATTTTCCATGTGTTGTTTTAGCTGTCATGTGATGAAGTGGCCACACTGGTTGGATTCTGCATGTAGGCCATACATCAAAGTTAACTAAAGTTATAAGTCAGTGAACTAAGCAGCCTGGAAAGTGGTCTCATTCTTCCAGTGCCACTTTAGATTGAGTTTTCAGTATTAAATAGTGTCTTAAATGATGCCATTTTGTATGATTTTCAATACATGCTTTTCTTTTTATTAAAAATAAGGAAACAAATACTGATCTGTCCACACACAAGTCATGTGCAGAAAATCTGAATGACGCAATTACAGCTCGCAGCTGTTGAGGTGGAGGATTCTAAAGTTACTTTCTTAGGCATCAGTAAGGTGCAAACAATTGTGATGCATTGATTCAGGTTTGCTCACTGGCTGCACCTTTCAAGGCACACACTCAATTTTAAAGCATATGTATAGTTCATGGAGACACAAGACTGTTTGGATTTTTTTAGACAAGTCAGCTTTCCAATACATAATTAATATTCTGATGAACTTAGATTTAAGGATAACTGTGGATATTTGTTGCTTTTTTCTAGCCTAAGTCTGTTGGGGAAATGGGGGTGGAAAGAGGAAGAGGTGAGTTCATAACATTTCCAGTCTATATTCCAGCATTTCTGTTGTCAGCTTTGCAGTGTGTGGTTACAGGATAAGGTAGTCCAGATATTCCAGGACTGATGATCTAAGATAATAAGTCTGGGAATTTCAACTCCCCCTACTCTTTTATACTACCACTAGGACATCCAAAAGTACACTGACTTCTCGAGAATCTGACAATAATTTTAAAAGCTGTGGTTGAAATTCATATTACTTCTGGAAATAGGCTAGAGGTATTTGGAAAAATCTGCAATAATTTGAAATATAATTATGACTTTAGTTAAAATGACCTCATCATATTTATGTGATGACTTCATATATTTACAGTGAGATACTTGAAATCTGTGTCCACCTAGTAGTGAAGGTTCCTTAATCAGAAAAAAAAAAAAGGCTTATCTTGTATGTATAATAAAGTATTAAGTTCATTCTACTGGGAAGGGATTTTTGTTTGGTAACAGCATACTTTAATATGCTTTCTGTATTTGTTTAGCTGGTATAGTTACCTTATATCCTGACAAGGAACTTGCCTTCTGTAGTTTTATGAGGTATCATTAAAAAATTCAGATCTTCAAAGTGCTCCTTTAGCTTGCTATCATATATATTCAGATGCTGAAGCTGAATTGTATTTTTCCATGAAAGGAAGCAAAACTTCATCTGCATTTTAAATATTCGACAAATACCTATCCCACAACCTAAAGAAAAAACAGACAAAAGTAATAAATCTTAGACAGGTTCCAGGGATACACATCAGTTGTGGACATGATGAAAACTGTGAGTTGAGACATAATTTGGCCTGTAGATGTAGAATGCTCTGGCTTTCGCAACTGAAAGGAGCTTTTGTGTGGTACTTAAACCAACATTCTCTTTCACCCTCTCCCATGTCACTGTTACAAGAGAGCAAAGGAAATCATGGTATCTTCTTTTGTGGCCATGTCAATACTCAGTTGCAGTCTTTAAACCATTACCTGTGCCAAGGGAGTCTCCTGCTTTAAGGTACAGACTACAGGATGAAAAATTTAGCCTAATTTCTGCAAACATTAGTTAATTAATTTTTACCATATCCTTCCAAAAGTCTAAATCTGCTCATGCACCCTTGTTCATGATCTTAGTCATGTCCCTCTTCCACAGGCCTTGGAATCAAATTGTGAGTACTTATGTCAGTGTGCTGTGTAATGTAGACAGACCACTTCAGTTTGGCTGTCCCTAAGCAAGGAATGTGGCAATTAGTAACCATTAGCCTCTTTGCTTTAAGGAAAATGATTCATATGTTAGAGATCATGTTGTGATTATTGCTGGGAGTATGAGTAGACTTTTTTCATTAAATCCTCTGCATTTGAATAAACCATGAAATGAAAGAGGGGAATTCAATGAACATGAAACTATGTTTAGAGAATCAGGCCACATTTTAGAAAATGTAGGACTGTCATCTATAAAGTGTTTGGAATGCTTTTACTGCTAATTGGTAACTAAATGTAACCTAGAATAACAAGTGAATAAAATTTTAGCTTTCTCAATCTAGAAAGAAAGAAACATAATGATAATAACAACAGCCACTACCTGTTGTGAAATTGAGACGTAGTTGCACTTCAACAATAAGAACTTCCTAATAACTGATTAGATGATGGAAATACACTGGAATTTATTTATTTTAAATGAGGTGGAGGAGGAGGATGGAGAAGTCTAGTAGATAAATTAAGCATCAAGTTCTATAAGTGACTGTTTTCTCTGGTGCAAATGATGTCACTGATGGTGGAAGGAGATGCAGTTCTGATTTGGTGTCCAAAGAAACCATATTCAGCAATTAATACTTCCATTCAGAAAAGTCCAAAAAGCACGTGCTTCTTTTCAAGAATGTGATTGAAACATCTTCCTGTTTTCTGAACTTGGCTCTTTTCATGACGAGAAGCAGTAAAGGAACATGCTGGCTAGCTGAGATGGGGTGACAGAAGACTTACTGCAGGGAGTGTTTGGACACTCTTGAGGCAATGATTGCTATCACCATAATTACTGCTCTTTACCAGCAGTGTCTCAGTGTTATGAGTAATGGATTTTTATTTTAACAGTTAAGTGGTGCACTCAGATTGCTCAAATTTACCAAATGCTTTCCCTATATTTGTGTTCTTGCTTGGAATCTGACAAGAGTTGAGTAAATATGTGTTAATTTGTTTCATCATTGTCAGTACTGAGACATTTATTGAACGTTACTGACTAAAATACCTAAAACTTTCATAAGTGTCTAACTCTAAGTTTGTCATAAAAATATACTTCTGCTTTCAGTTTCACGTGCATGCCGTTCCAGTAAAGTGATTCATGTCCACATGGGAGTGATAGACTTGTATTTCATAAAGCTGACTGTGAAGGTCTTGCATCAAATTTGAAATACTTTTGTTCCATCTCACAGGCTAATTTTATATCAGAATAATTCTTATCAAATTCCATTCCAGGCTCTCAGAAGTTAGATTTCTCATTTTTTTAAAACTCTTGTTTTTTCCTAATAAGAAGCATCTAGAAATGAGTGCATTACACTAGGGTCTTTCTTTGGATCAGCAGTTCAGTTCGGAACTGAATCTCTTGTTCATTCCCACTTTGGTTTGGGGAGTGACCTGGACTGTATTCCTCTTGGACGAAATAATCTGAAAAATGGACTGCAGGAATGTGCCTAATGCACTCCAGCCATTAAAAGCCTTTGGTCTTTGAGATTAAATCTGAGACCTAATCCAAAGTAGAAAGCCCCTGGAACATGTGTAATATGGAATGTGTCCTTAAAATCAACTCTTTCACTGTACAGCCACACTTTTGTTGGCCCATGCTGTTCCTAATATTACCATAGCCACTGACTACTGCTTAGCTCCTATAAGAAACTGGTTTTGTACACATGAAACAATGTTGGATGAATGACAAATCTGTGACTGACTGCATGATAGTTAGTGTGATTATTTGTGAAAAGAAGTTTCACTTATGTTTTTTGACTTTTTAATGCTTTACATTACTTTTAAAAGAGTACCTAGTTGCATCTTGCTATTAATTTTTAATTTATTAGGGCTATCAAACTTAGTACATTCCTAGTTGCTCCATAGTTTGCATCTGGAAAATTCTGTGTAAGGACATTCCAAGAAGTTCAGTTTAATTGCTCTAATTTGAAAAGGCTGGTTTTTCAGTGGCATTTTTGAGACCATTGAAATCCACTGAAATGAGATTAAAAAAATTAGTTATGTTAGTTTTAAAACAGTCACACATCTAAACGGAGGCTTCCAACACCATAATTTGTGGATTATCAATACTAATTAGATTGTACTACCAGTTATTAATGAAATTACATAATTTCAGGCCAATAATAAAATGGAATAGGCATTCTGTTACAGAAATAGCACAGATGAACTTGTTTTGTGAAATACCTAAAAATTCCAAGCATTTCATAAACTAGCTAGTGAGTGTCAGTGCTAATGGTTGCAGTGTGAAACCTGGTATTATTATGGTTCCTTTGTGTCATTGTTGTGAACAGTGGAATTTTCAGTAGGAAATAGCATCCTCAGTGGTTCCTTGCCAGCGAGGATATTAGTGAACAAAGGAAGTGTTAGAAGTGCAGATTTGCTACATGCTCTTCAATCCCTCCCAGCTGCTGTAGGCTTGAGACAGAGAACCTTTTTATCTTTCCTTTTGGAAACATTCTTCAGCTTTTTTATTCCTCATAGATCTGCTTTTGTGTTCGGGTTTTGGTGGTGGGTTGTTTTTCTGTTGTTGTTTTTTGTTTTTGTAATTTCTCTTTGCTTTGAAGGACAAAATTCCATTTGGGTTGCACATGCATGTTTTAATCTGTGTCTGCTTGTTCAAGGATAACTCAGGCCTTCTGAGGACTCATGTTTACATCCTAGTAGCTGGGTCAAATTTGGGTGTCTAAGTAAACTTTGCCCTGTGCTTTCATCATTCCTCCACCCTTAAACAGTAAAACTCTTGGACTGTTGCTGTCTCTGAAGGTCACAAAGACTCCACTGTTCCAGTCTGTTCTGCCTGTCCCACTCTCCTTGTAAAGAATGATGTACTTTGGTTTCCAGAAACTTTTCCCAGCAATTGCTTTTGCTTTACTTGTTTGGAGACATCCACCACATTGCTGGTGAACAGAAAAAAAAAAGTGTCATAGCAACAAAGCCTCATTTTACATTCACAAAGTCCCTGTGTCAATAGACAAACGCCAAACCTGTTTCTCAAGTCCAGCTGTTGCTAGTCAAGCACTCCAATTGTTCACATGCTTGGAAGAGGTGACTGAGTCAGTGTATGGGTGTATTTGTCGTCTAATTAATAGACACCAGCTGCCAATCATGCTCTGAGGATGTGCAACCTACATAATATGGTCACTTGTTGCAATTTTTAAAATATTTTTTTTTTGCATGTTGAAGGATTGATTATTAAATAGTTACTGATGCATTTTGGTATGATTCCACATTTGAACACACTGAGACCTATTCCTGAGTAAATGCAAGAGGTATAGCAGGGCAAGTGAGGGCAGCTTGAGTGTCAACGTACCAATGGACAAGCACTTGGAGAAGAAAAGGTGGTTATTTGTAAAAGACTTGAGCTCTTTGAGATATGTCCTGCAAATGCACACCTGTTACCTAACTTCTTTGTATTTTCTATCAATTTTGCATATTAATTTCATGTCCACTCATTATCATAGAGAAAAATGGAATAAATATAGCTCTGAAAATGATACTTCACTTGGATTTTCTAATACATTTTCAGCAACTTTATAAAGGCATAGAATACAGTATTGGAAAGGATCTGGAAAGGTTGCCTTATATACTCTTCTTGCCCAACTATACATTAAGTCTTTCTTGACAATTCTGTCTCCTTGTTAATTTTTCTTTTTGACAGGGCTATTGTAATAGTAGCTTTGTTGCTGACCTAGACTGCTGAAATGTGTTTGTCGTGATGCAAAGAAATGTATGTAACCAGAGGTACATACTCCAAACTATACCAGACATTAACAGTCAGTGTTACAATAGTCTCAATTGGGAAAACAAGTTTTGATTTTATTAAATGCATGTGTTGCTGAGTAATTTTAAAAACAAATATAACATTATTATGGTGAAATTAATGTACTATAAAACTGATTTATATGTCCTTTAATAATTCAAATTACAAAAAATAAGAGTTAACTTTGCTCACTTATTTAATAAAACAATAATTTTGAGATGTGATTAAATTATTCTTTTCCCCGCAAAGTGGCTTACCATTGTCTTAAATATAGATATGATTTGGGCTGTTAACCATCTCAGTTCTATACTTTGCCAGCATGTTGTATCTCCTCCTTATTTAAACTTCAAGCTTGCATTAATCTCTACACAAGGGAAGCTGTGCCCATGCTTACCTTCAGGATAAACTGCAGGGTACTCTGCATGGATGGCACTCCTGCAGGGTTTTTGGCTGGAAGCCCTTCAGCCCAGGGGCTGCTGTTAGTGTAGAAAAGGAGCCTAGCCATACAGGTTGCTGGTCTGGGGGCTGAGTCATGGTAGATAAGATGTTGCTTTTGTGACATTACTTGGAGTAGCTTACGCAGGTTTTGAAGAGAGGTTAGATTTCTACCTCAGCACTGCCAGAATCAGAACACCATGAGTCTTTTCTTTCCATTATTTGGTCTGCTAGGAAGACCATCTCTTTTTCTTCTTGGCTCTCAGTTTTGGAAGTCAGTCACATGAAAGTGGAAGCGTGTACTAAAGGAAGCAGAAACTAAAATGGGAAGGAAAGATTACATAAAATATCTTAAGGTTAATCTTGATTAAAACAGAATTGTTAAAAATTTATTTGAAGAAGCAGTAGAAAAAAGCCATACACATCTATGGCCAGATCTAGCCATTAGTATTTGTGCCAGCTGTAGGCTTTATTAAAGCTGCTCTGGCACAGCATGACACATCAGAGAAGCAGAAGGTCTTTGCGGTGATTCTTACTGGACTAATGCATGTGTTATCTTACATAAACTGCTCTTACCGCTATTCTTATGCATCTAACACAAAAATAATGGCATCAAAACCCCACAAACTTGGGAGTGTTCTTGAGGCTGTGATAATGTGTGATTGGTTGAAGTTGGTATCTGATAGTTGTACCTCTAGAATAAAAATAAATAAAAATGTTAACAATCAAGACATTCCTTTGTATTAAAGCTGAGACCTGGTGCACATTTGAGGCAAAACAAATAATTAGGACAGCAGTGTTTTTCTGTTTCTAGTTTGCTGATGCATCAGAAGGGATGCATGAAAAAATCTTAAATAAATATAGGCCAAGGTCTACTTTTCCTAAAGCCCCATAGTACTAAGTCTGGCTGTGATGGAGGCAATTTTCTTCACAGCAGCCCCGCTGGTGCTGTGTTTGGGATTTGTGACTAGAACAATGTTGATGGCACACCAATGGTTTGGCTGTTGCTGAGCGGCACTTGGACAGCATCAAGTCTCTTTTCTCACTCTGCTGCTCCAGTAAGTGTGGTGAGGGTGCGTGGGGGCACTTTTCAAACACATTTGCACCTAATACCTAACTTCACAAGCAAAATCATCACACTTCAATGTAGTCAGATTTGTATCTGAGTGATACCAGGTGTAAATAATTTTTATCTAATGTCTGTTGAAGGGGTTGAAAAAATCTGGGATTTTTTTGGATAGAATGAGTATCTAGGTGAGATTAAATCATCAGGGCAAGATGCAAAACTCACTGAAGTCAATAGATATCTTCCCAATCACTTCAGTAACTTTACAGCAATCCCAGTTCATCTCAGGATGGGCTTGATGAAATATAGACAAGTTGTTGAAGAAATGGTGATGGGAGGGAGGGCTGAGAGATAAGTACCATGGAGGTAGATAGGTCAGACATTTCAGAGGGGGGAATTAATAGAAGGGGAGCAGCAGTGCTTGAAGGCACATGCTACTATACATACAATATGGCATATATTATTTTGAGTGATGTTCAATGCCTCAGTTTAATAGGGTGGATAACAAAGGCAGAAAGTTAGGATTTAAAATCAAACTGCTATTGGTTACATAAAGTAACCTTTAATATGTCGTGGTAGCAAAAAAAGATTTTTCTGTCTCAAGGCTGGAATCATTGCTTTCCTAGTGAATATGCTATTGTTACATTGTAATGAGTGGTGTATAAACACATTCTTGTCAGAAACAAAGACAGCCAATAGACTTTTCAACAGTTACTTGTTTGGATTTTCTGTAAATATTAAATAATCTATGTATACTAAAAAAATACCTGCCTGAAAATATTTACTGCTTTATAGATCTCTCGAGTAAGTGATAATCTGTCACTGCGAATAATGTGCAAAGTAATTCTAGTTTTGGAAGTGTTTTCTTGAATGTCAGTAGGAAAAATGTGTAGCAATCAAGAACAGAAAGATTTGTGTGTGTGTGAATTTGACTATTAATACATTAGTGACAGCAAAAAAGAAAGCTGTAACTTACCCTGGTTTGAGAAAATATGGGTCTGCATTTGTGATCTGGCAAAATAATCAAAACAATAAGATCTGCTATCTTGTGAAATAAGCTTAAGAATTCCTCAAATAAACTTACCATGGAAATTCCCCTGCATCTTGTATATACTTGGAGAGAAGAATTTTTCCTTTCATCATAGGCTAAATGTTGACTTTTACTCAGGAATGGCTTTTAAAGGCTATTCTCTTCAGTGAAATTAGGTAATTGTGTTATAATAAATTTTCTGAATTTCTTTGCTAATCAGTTTTGAAGTTTCAACAATATTTGTCTTTAATTATATGTTAATTGTGAATAAGAGAACAGACGTCTGTGGAATTTTTGTGTCTATTACATGCCAGAGCCACATGTTTGAGGGGAAAAAAATGTGGGTTTTTTTGTCTGACAAAGTGATTCAAATTTCTACCTGAAAATATTGTGAAAGGTAAATAAATATAAACAAACTCAACCATAACACAGTTACAAAAGCTGCTTATTTGGCATGATTAGACACAGTATGACTAAAATACTTCCTTAATGAGGAATTATTTTGATCTGGACAAGAGAACAAATTGAAAAACATCTTCATTAGAACTGCTTCTAAGGAAACTACATGAGATGCTAAGACAAGTTCTGTTTTATGCTGTCTTGTTTTTAATTTTCAAATATCAGTTTTATTCACATAGAAGAAAAAGATAATAAAAACTAATACCTTAAAATTTCTTTGACTTAGAAAAAAACAACCAGGAGAATACTGCACCAGGAGATAAGGAGATAAAACAGCCTTCCAGGAAGCAAAGTATACAACCAGAGATACAAGACCAGTCCATCTGGGGAAATCGCACTGATGGTGACCTCATCAGAAGTAAGTATTTCCAGAACAAATTGCTGCCATTTAGGCTCACTTACACAGTGTAACTGTATACTGCCTGTTGACTCAGTTAAATGTGTGTCAAATGCAATTGTGTTGCAACTATAATGTGTGTCTACTGAATTTATTTCCCAGAATGACTGGTGTCAGCATGCATAAGCAGCAAGTTCAAAGAAAGGTGTGACTTGAGTGGTGCAGTATAATGTAGACACTGCTGGCATCTACATTTTAATCCTTAATGTTCTATTCTTCTCTTATAATTCCTAATGGGATATGAATATTTAGTAGACTCATGAGCTGAAGTATGCAACCTGTGCTAGGTGTCATTGCCTTTGATTTCTCAGGTTATACATTTAGGTGGCAGAGTAAAGTATGCTGAACACAGTGTCTTCCAGAGGCACTGAGTAATGGTCAGATGTAAGTTTATAAAGAGGTTTGAATCCTGAAGTAGCTAGTCCTTTCAAAACTAGAGGAATGCTGTATGACAAGGTTTTAGGCCTTAATTGCTATGGAACTGTGGGGTTTTTTAAACTTAGTTTTTACAAGTCCACATGCCTAATGTGTATCTTGGATGCTTTAAAACATAAATATATATGCAAGATTATTCCCATTTTTCTGTCTTGAAGATCATATGCTGTCCAAAGGATCATCCACAATTGTACTCTCCTGACGCATTTTTTTTTCTGTTAACTGCCAGAGCTAATACTACTTTAAAATTCTGTGAATGCTTGAACATTAGTTACTCAAGGGAGGGGCAGCCTGAGAAACTGTTCTCTAATTACAGGGTGTATTCAGAAAGCAAAGGGACTAAATGCTGTGTGATGCTTCAGGTCTCTGAGTTTGTTTCTGACACAAACTTCAGGGTCAGTCTGTTTTTATACTGCACACTTACTACATGATACATAGTGGACTAAATTCATATTTCTGAGCCTGCTATTGCTATAACTGGTGATTTCATCTGGAGTTACCTTTTTCTTTTAGGTTTGTTTTGTTGTGTGGGTTTATTTTTTGTTGTTTGGTTTTGGTTTTTTTTGTTTGGTCTTGTTTCTGGTTTTGTTGGTTTTTTTTTTGTTGGGTTTTTTGAAGCTTATTTATGCATTGAACTTCTCTTAAACTGTGTTAGAATTTGAAGTTATTTTCAAACCTTAGTTAATATTTTTTTTCTAAATAATGAATCCCAGTGAATACTTACACATTTAATGTATTGAATAGTTATCTAGATTCTGTACAGGAAAACTTGAATGTAGCATGTCAGTTATTTATCTGAGAATTTGAAAAAATGGGGCTATAAGGAGGAAGATTTTTACTTCACAGTTTGAGGGTTTACCTAATTCCACAAAATCATTATTTTAGATCTAACTGTCTCTGAACAAGCAATTGCTTTGTGTTTGTGTTGAGGACATAGGAAGGTGCATATGGCATCTGCTGCTTTGGAGTGGCCTTCTCATTCTTCCTAGAGGCTCCCTTACTCCCAGACCCATGGGAAAGCAAATGTATGTGGTATCAGCTAGCAGCATGTCTGCCTCTGGCAGAAAAGGACCTGGGGGTTCTAATTGACAAGCAGCTGAATATGAGCCAGTAGTGTGCCCAGGTGGCCAAGAAAGCCAATGGCATCCTGGCTTGTACTAGAAACAGTGTGACCAGCAGAAGTAGAGAGGTGATTGTCCCCCCGTGCTCAGTGCTGGTGAGGCCACACCTGGAGTATTGTGTCCAGTTTTGGGCACCTCAATTCAAGAGAGATATCGAGGTGCTGCAGCAAGTACAGAGGAGGCCAACAAAGCTGGTGAAGGGCCTAGAGAATAAATCTTATGAAGAATGCTGAAGGAGCTGGGCATGTTTAGTTTGAGGAAAAGGACACTGAGGGGAGACATCATCAGTCTCTACAACTACCTGAAAGGTCATTCATTGTTGAGAGGTTGGTGCTGATCTCTTCTCACAGGTAATTAGCAACAGAACAGGAGGGAGTGGTTTCAAGCTGCAACAAAGTAGGTTTAGACTGGACATTAGGAACATTTTTTTCACAGAAAGAGTGGTTAGACACTGGAGTAGGCTGCCAAGGGAGGTGGTTGAGTCACCATCCCTGGATGTGTTTAAGGGTCATTTGGATGTGGTGTTGGTGGATATGGTTTAGGAGGAGTAGGAATGATGGTTGGACTCAGTGATACCAAGGGTCTTTTGCAACCTGAATGGTTCTATGATTCTCAACTCTTGAGGAAAAGACCAAGGACAGTAGGGTGGTTCTGTGCTTCATGTAATCTGTTCACTGCAGGGATGTACTGTAGTGGCTGCACTGGGCAAATGGCTGAGGAAAAGGTACATTTTTCAAAATACAGGAGAAATTACAGCAGATTGTTCAAATCCCTGGCAGTGAAAGAAGAGTAAAGTGACTTGAGAGCTACATGTTGTTACATGTCTCTGTGATGGGAGGGTCACCTGAATTAAAAGAGTAACAGGACAAAGGTTAAAGAGAGGATAAAATCCTGAAGTAGGTATGTATGTATGATGCAGTGCTCCAGTATGCATAAATGCTCTTCCTGGAGTCACTAATAGTTTTACCTTTGACTTTGTGAAAAGCAAGTTTAGGTGAAAGCTGGAAGTTTCTAAAACTTCTAGTCTTAACAGAATTTTGTATAGAATTTTGCCCCTCTACTCGGCTCTGGTGAGACCCCACCTGGAATACTGTGTACAGTTCTGATGCCCTCAGCACAAGAAAGATAAAGACCTGTTGGAAAGGGTCCATAGAAAGGCCACCAAGATGATCAAAGGCCTGGAGCACCTCTGCTATGAAGACAGCCTGAGAGAATTGAGGCTGTTCACCCTAGAGAAGAGAAGGCTCTGGGGAGACCTTATAGCAGCTTTCCAGTACTTGAAAGGGGCCTACAGGAAAGCTGGGGAGGGGCTTTTCATCAGAGAAGATAGTGATAGGACAAGGGGCAATGGTTTTAAACTGAGAAAGGGGAGATTTAGGTTATATATTAGGAAGAAATTCTTCACTATCAGGGTGGTGAGGAACTGGAATGGGTTGCCCAGGGATGTTGTTGATGCCCCATCCATGGAGGCTTTTAGGATGAGGTTTTGTGTAACCTGATCTAGTGGTAGGGTTCCCTGCTCATGGCAGGGGGGGTTTAACTTGATGACCTTCGAGGTCCCTTCCAACCTTAATGATTCTATGATTCTAGTGGTTTAATTATGAGACATGTTTGAGTAGCTGCTATGCTGCTATCCTTTCTTTGCTTCAAATTAATTATTTTTTAATCATTAATGTTCCTGTTCCCAAAGTCTTCTAGATAGAAGAAACAAAAATGGTGAAATTAAAGCAGCTTTGTTTTGTTCTTTTTTGGGAGGGGCTTTAGCTACAAGTAGGAAAATCTGTTGTATTTTAAAAAACCTGAGGAACAGTGTTTGGCTCAATTGCAAGTACATTGTTCAGTTTGTAAAAGTTTTACGACTTGATCTACCTAATAGCTAAAGTTCAAAAAATAGAAAAAGTAGAGCACAGAGAAGCTTGATAATCACAAACATTACTTAGATACTTAATCTTAAGTAACTAGTATTGAAGATTAGAATGGCTGTGATTCAATATTTATGCAGAATATTGTATATTGGAAGAAGCTTGAGGTTAGAAATAAACAATGTTTTGATCATTATGATGTACTTTGAAAATGTTTCTTTGAATTGTTTTAGACAGGGCATTCTTTAGTTTTCTTAGGTGTCAACAACTATTCACTATTCTAATGATTCAGTTTCTTTTTTTCTCATGCAGAATGTTTTCCACCCCCACAGTTGCTATATACTCCATTAGTGTTAGCCTTAGTTTTCACTTTTTAAATATTTCCAGCATTTACTTTCCAAGGTTCTCCTTGTTTGCAGCTGTTTTATCCTGCTGTTATGTGGAAGTAAATTAATCAGTCAGTTGTACTGGCACACCAACAACAGAGGCCAGTGTTAGAGACTCTGTAATGACTTCATAATGTATGATTTCTCATTTGCACTTGTGAACTCAGTTTACCAGGCAACGTCAATGAACTAAAATGCTGCTCCCATTTTCCACAGTAACCCGTTTTCAGTTCACCTTGCCCTTGCAGTTCTTTTCACAAGCCTCCTTTTTTTTAATCTCTAGATGATGAGGTTTCCCCCAGATTAGCCTTTTCTCCAGCTCCTTTGGGGCATCCCTTCTCCCCCAGATGAAAATTCTTATAATATACTGGGTAAATGGCTAATCTTATGGGAAGCTTCAACCAAGGATTTTAATTGGTTTTGAAAAGAGCTTGGGAGTCATGGTAGAGGAATATTAGATTCCAGTGCACCAGTGCTTCAAAAGGTTACTGTGTACTGGCATATAAACAGGAGAGAGCTAAATAAGAAGAAAATGGTTGTATTACCTTTCAGTATTAATTGTTAATGCACTTGCGTAACTGTTACTGGAATACCGTGTTCAGTTGGAGAAGGGTCAGGGGAGAACCACAAATATCTCAGGAATGACTGGAGTAGTTGAAAACATGCCTTATTGTGGAAAAACTGGAGTTCAATCTGTTTAGTGTTAATAAGGGGATAAAGAGGTGCTTGCCTAGTCCCTGAGAAGCAAGATTCCACAATGAGCAGAAATTTGGTAAGACAGTTCTTCAACTGTAGCAGACAAGGGGACAACTAGATAAAATGTCTGGAAGTTCAGTTGGACTAGAGATAAGGTGTACATTTTTTAGCAGAGTATTTGAGAAATAGAAGAGCTGCCAAATAGTTGATCTTTTTAGGTGTGTTAAAATGGCATTACAGTGGTCAATGCTATCCATATCCTTCATTCTTAGAACCTGAGTAAGGGAGAATCTCTTTTTCATAGCGCTTTCCCCAGACTGGGAAAACCTCTATATTTTCCATCTCAGGTATTCTTCAAAGCAGCAATGAGATCTATTCCTTTCCCATCACAGATGCACAGTAATTTTGTGTTTTATCTCAGGCTGTAGAGGTCCTGCTTTTCAAAGGAACTTAGCCTTAGA